GTTCAGACGTGTGCTCTTCCGATCTGCGTTCAGTTATATATTAATTTATTATTTTAATTGCATGTTTTTATTGTAGCTGGATATCTATACTATTTATTGATACAAACTTAAGTAGTGTAAAAGCATTTAACACAGTTTGGGAAGCAAAACTTCCAAAGCGTACGAAATATCCTCATTTCACCCTATATTAAAATTAGATTATTTTTCATTACAAATTATATAATTGGAAAAATTATAATTTTTAATATTAAGTATTTATTTATACAGCAATGTGGTTTAAATTTATGTAAAGGAAAACTTCAAATCAGTTAGGTTAATATTAAGTCAACATTTTTATTGTTATTGTAATTTAGCTCAATTACAATTCTAAAATTTTCTTTAGGATTATAATAAAGAAAATATACATAAATTTTTTTAATATAAAAAGAGTGTATAAGATAATTAATAAAATAGTCTGCGTGTTAAAAAAAAAAGACAGAAAGAGAGAATTTTTGTTTGCAATATTTTAGGAAGTAGAAGACCAAGTATTTTACCGGTACCTGATATGTTAACGAGCTCGACGTTACACCTACCTGGTCAAGAATCCTTGGATCACGAAGCTGATGAGTCAGAGGATGAAATGGATGATGACGTTCCTTGGAGATCGCCAAGCGAGAAGATCGCGTAAGTATATTTTTGTCTTTTTCTCGTCTTTCATCGTAAGACATTACATGAAAATTCGTGAAAATATCATAACGGCATTTCTTGTTGCCAATTATACAGCACGAAAAACTCATCGAAAATAGAGAAGTGAATCGAGTAGAGAAAATTATTAGCAGGAATTTGTGTCGTTTCTTCTTCCGAACTGTTTAATATGTGCGTTATAAACGTATCGACGAGCACAATTTGCAAAATCCTCCAAAGACAAACAATCTCGCACTTTGCCTCGTGCACCTGCATGATGCGGTCTTGTGCATCGGATCTCTTCTGTTTATGTGCATCACAAATGTATTTCTTATATATATGCATATTGTATGTATTTTATATTTTTTGTATTTGCACACTAGTTGATATATTTGAAGACAACTCGTAAAAGAGAAAGCTCAAATTTTCAAAATAATAAAAGAATAGTGATTTAATTGTCATAATATAACTTAATTAATAATATTATATATATAATTCCGTATGTCTTTTTTTCTTAATTTATACACGTCTTATTATACTAAAATAATTTACAATTTATATACAACCTTCTTTAAAAAAGAACAAAAATTTGAATTGAACAAAAATTTCTTATATTTTATTATTGATAATGATACATCAGGCAAAGATTTTAAAGTGTTTTTTTTTTAACGGTTCACTTTCCTAATGCAATTTATGTATTTTCATCACATATTTTTCTCTTACGCGTAAACTAATTTTTAGTATTTAAAATTTTATTTATCAGTCTTAAATTGGATCTTTTTCTCAGTAAATCTCTTACCAGAATTATTTTGAATTCAATAAAAAATTGCATAATGTGCAATATAGTAGCTATCAAATAATTTTATTCTACATTTTCTTTAAACTTTAATAAGTAGAATCTTTATTAAAATAATTAGTATAAAATATCTTCGTCTATTAATTTTTGAAATTTTACATCGTGAAATTCTAAAAAAAAACCTGTCGCCACGTTGGAACGGAAGTCACTCGTATCTTCTTAATAAGATGGTGCAACCATACGGCTCAACGCGTTTTTAATTTAATGACGTTTCTAGTATTAAACGCGTCGGGAGCCATCGTTCATTCTGTGCCATTGAAAAAAAGGTTATGTAGGGTATGTATTCTGGGAATTATACGAATATGTATCGTGTATATCCCGGCTCTTCGCGATATGCTTTCATCTTCCATTCTCTCGATATCATCATGATCTCATTAGCAGGCTATAGCATTAGTTCATATAAGTGCAAGCACTATACATATAGTGACCTCTATATTTGCATCTCTCTAATTTTTACACAACAAACAGAAATGACAATTAAAAAATATCATTCTATTATTATATCTATTTGCATCTGGATAGAAAAACTTATTGCAATTATCGAAAATTAATGTTATTAAAATCTTGAATTAAAATATTTACAATGATCACGTAAATAATCACTGTATATGTCACTTACTTTATCATCTGTAATGAGTCTGTGTCTATTCGTAAATCTAAACATCGCACCTTATCCACTTTAGATATTTTAGAACGCGGATCTTAAATTATTGTCTTATTATATTTATAACGATAAAATAATTAATATTTGTTTAATTATCAATTAATGCAATCTTTCAGACTATTGTAAGGATTATTTATTAAAACTATCGTATTTATATATCCAAATAATTACAAGGTATTTCAAAACACTCATAGAAAGATTTACCATTCGGTCTTAAATATCTTAACAGTTAAATTTTATTTTAAATTTTAATGTAAAAATCTACTTAAAATTGATAGGATAATTATTCTTACTTTCTAATTTTGTTTTTAAGTGTCTAACCTTTTGATATAAAAAAATACTCTTTTTAACAATTAATATCGTATTTTATCTGTCATTCAGATAAGAAATGTGCATTTTCTAAAATTTTATTTAAATGACGAAGAAGTGTGGCTTCGACATTTTCATTCTATTAGTCTTTAGTAACATTAGTGCTATGCTTATATAACTAGCAGTAATTACGATCTCTATATAAGGTAATAAAATTTGGAATGTATTTTTGTGCAAAACAATCTAGAGCTTCGAAGTAGGACCCCAGAGATAGATTTAACTATTATAGATATATTCTTCTATTATACTTTCTATTATTTTACATTTTTTCGGTCCATGTCTTCGAGAAGCGTGAAGTCCAGACACGGTAGATCGAATCGTTTTATGCGCGACGCGAATGTTTTGGCGCACTGATGTTTATTTCATCTTTAACCGTTTAAATATATAATCGTGCAAATCAATGGTCGATGTATCCTGTCTCAATGTCTCTCGATGCCTGTTTCACTAACGGCACCGGACGGTGCCGTTGAATCGCTGCTCGATGCTGTCCTGCCTGACACCTTATATGTCCTCATGGATGTTTTCGATGTCTTCCTTCTTGCATCGTCCTTGTGCACTGCCGTCTTGCCGCACGACTTCGGTCAGCAGCTTCAAAGGGTGAGTCTCTTATTGAACGCTTCCACACATCTCCATTTGATTTGCTTATTTATTTATCAAAATATATTTTATTTGTCTTAATTTGTTTTAGTTTACGTATTACAATATACATATAGTTATGTACATAGTACACCTTACATAAATTTATAGATTTGCTTGTTGAAATGGTGTCGACGTTGTAAGTATATTTATATAATGAAAATAACAATATCTCGACGTCACGAGAACGTTGTTAATAAATCTGTGATTATAAAATATTCATGTTATAATACATATATGTAGTTTTTTTTAACCAGTACAAATCTAATTTGAATATTTTAAATGTTTATTATACACAACGCAAGCTACGTATAAAAATTATAGAATATCAAATTCCCGATAAAATACATACAGCTAACAACATATGCATTAAATTTAGATAATAAATAATTTTAATTATGTTGTTACTTTGAACTTTAAAAATAAATTAATAACGATTAAAAGTAAATATGAAAATTCTGTACTGAAATTTGTATTTTAAGCATTTTAATTTCATCGTAAAATGCTTCCCAATATTTTTAACGTGATTAATCATGGACATAAATTACTTTAGCATATAATTTACCAACGCAATAACATGATGTGCGTGATAAATGCTTTCGGTCAAACACACAGCACTATCCCAATATTGAACACTATTTACAGTTTGGATCGCGTGACACGAAGATACTCACGAAATCCGAGAGTATAATGTAAAACGACTTGCACCCTTTCATCTCTTTCAAGCGATTTACCTCCGGCTTTCAAGGAACTGAAAATCGGATAAATAACATTCGAGAGAGCCAAGCTTCTCTTCGGATGGAAGAGCCGCATATTTTGCGACGTATATTTTTCTAGCAAAACTGCATTATATATCGATTAAATTATCAATACAAAACATGATAAAAAAATTAACACGATTTCAATTTGATTCCTGAAAAAACAAGAACATCTGCTCAGTCAAGGTCTATTATCTTTATGTCAACATATATCTTATATGTCTATGGACGGTACGCCTTCTCAAACAGTCGCATTACCACTTGGACGTCCCCAAGCGACATTCGCTATAAGAGGCGCCAAAATCTAACATCTCACGCGGAGGCGGTTGGGGCGAAATAATCAAATTTCAACAATATTGCAGGATCGTCAAGGGATTTCCGCCAGTTTCACCCTTTATTGGAGTCTCACCAACCTTGTGTTATCTTCTCAAAGAAAAGAAGCCTCTCTGTTGCCTTCAGCTGGCTCAGGTATGCCCGACTTTGCGGATGATTTTTTAGAAAATTAAATTAAAAGTAAACATTATGAGTAAAATTTTATAATATATGGATTTTCAATACGTGATTCTTCTTGCCCGTTTAGGTGTGCCAGCATTGCAGCTATAGAAACGCCAAAGAGTACAATTGGCAAAATAAGACCATTATATTGGCAGCGGACTATGCTAGCAATGGAATTTATAACTTTATAATACCATTGAGGGCACATTTTAGGTATTTATTGCATTATTAATATATGATTATTTATTGATAAACATTACAGATTGTATTGTTAACTTAACTATATAAAATTGTTTTCAAATAAGAAACCTTGTCATTTATGTTGTTTTGCGACTATTATATAGATTTAATTACATTTTTTAAAATATGAACATATAATTTTAAAATTTTAGTACTTATTTAAATGTATATTTTTTAATTACGTTAATATTTTTTATTAATTAAGAAAATATTTAACGATTTAAAATATTTCAAATATTTTATAATTACAGAGTTATTAAAAACTGACTAAAATTAAAACCTAAAAGCGTTTATATTTAAATATGTTTTTTTTTATATAAAATGTATTTTAAGAACTGTTATGTATTTCTTTAAAATATTTCTTTAAAAAATTATTTGAAATATTTTTAAAGATCATATATGATTTCAAAGACGACGAATCGCAATCACGCTATTTTTCGTTAAATATTACTGTTTCATGTTGCTAAAGAATAATTTTATATTAAAGATAAAAGGAATTGATCAACTGATAGATGCGAGGAGAAGCAATTAAATTAATAAACAGTAATATTTGCTAGGTCGAAAACATCGTTGAATCCAATCATTCTTTTGCTGGAGAGAAAACCGGAAATCGCATTTCTTGATGCAGTATCATACTTTCCATTGGTTTATTGGATGCGCGGCTCTATCGACTGCTTAGATGATCTTCTCCGGGCAGGTATCACCTTGGCGGAAAACGTCGTAGTTGTAAACAAGGAACTCAACAATTCCGCCGAGGAGGATACCCTGGCTGATTGCAACACAATTGTTGCAGTGCAGACTATGTTCAAGTGAGTGTCACTACACTCTACGAGACACTACACAACGTGTCTTGCAACGAAAATTATCTATCAGGAAATGTTACGACTACAATTTATAGCTTAAGCCTCGATTGCAAAAGATATTTGTATTGCTATTTAATTTAAAATACATTATTTTTTAATATATTTGTTCTAATTTGTAAATACACAGTTTATTTGAATATCTACGTGTTATTATAATAATGTAAAGGTAAAAGAATGTTTGTAATATAATTACATTAATAATTATGAACATTGAAAATTATTGTTAGAGAAGAAAGTTGTTAAATAAAAATTATTGTTAAAGAGGAAATGAAAATTAAGATACATTGTTCACAATAAAGGCAAATATACATATATAAATAAGGGGAAAAAATTGTCAATAAAATTATGTATTACATTCTCATTTTTTATGAGGTTATTTTTCTATTTCTTTGATAGATTCTTCCCAAGCATAAAGAGCATAACAGAATTGTCCCAGTCAAGCAATATGCGTTTTATGCAGTTCCGGGCACATGACAAGTACGCTTTGCATCTCAGCAAAATGGAAAAGGTACTCCTCAGTGCTACTACCGATGACAACTCCGATGAGCCTCCGATGGGCTCCCCGGTAACACGATATCATTCATTCTCCAACCTCTGATTGATTGATTGTTGAATTGATTGATCGATTTGACTGCTAAACATCTCTAATGTTATCATCGCTCTCGTGTCGTTTCAATATTCGCGGTATACTTGCGATCTAAAAATATTATATCAACCATTAAACCAAATATTTTTGCACAAACCCACGCAAAGTGACTTATTCACCAATATCAGAAGAATAATCGGTAGAACAAAAAATACATTTTTGCGATTTGAACTTATAAAGCTATATTTCTTCCATATTTCGTCTTACTTTGCTATTTTCCGGCGTGGTTTTTATACAAATCTAATTTCGGCGGATGCCGCGTTCGGGGTTGCGGCAAACTTAAAAGGACGTTTCCCAAGATTTGCGATCGCCGGTCTCGTAAAGCCGCGCGCCGTTGAAAGCGGGAAGGAATTACGAGAGTAAAGTCGTCCCGCGCGCAGAAAATCACTTTGCTCTAAGTGCTGCTTTCCGCGTGCACCTTCGTCGCATCGCTTATCAACTTTACCGACGCCATCGAATCTTTACTTTATTCTTTAGTCCGCGATATTGACACGAAAGAAAGCAAGATAGATTTTTTTTTAATAGAATTCTAAAGAGAGCAAAACATGTGTGGCATAATTATGTTATAACTGGCATATCATTCTCCAGTTTTTTTAGGTCGGCTCTATATAGTATATTAGATATGATATCATTTTGTAGAAAATAAATTCCTTCAAATATATAGATCACTGCAAGGACTTTTCATATTTTTATACTTAATTATAAATTCGTTATATGTATACGATCAGATTATTTATAAATGTTTAAGAACGTATATTAATTAGAAGTATCCATGATGAATTTTAATTATACTCGTGATAAATTTTAAGTTTTAAGATAGGAATTTATTTACCGTAATTATTTCATGAGACATATTTTACGAGAGCGATGAGAACATGGAAAATATTGACAAATTTAGAAACAACATTTTTACAAGTAGTCGCTTATGAACCTATTGGTATCGATGCATGGGTCACAATGAACTGATCACCTTTTTTTGTACTTGTCATTGCACTCAATATATCGATAGTTATTCCTTAGTAGTGTTTAATCTTAAATTGTATGTTGTAGCATGGTGACTCATGCCTTGAAATTGATGCTTAATGGATTTAGAATCCTTGCAAATATCATAAACATTTCTTTTTTGTTTTTCAGCAAACATATACACATTATTATTTTATTTTCCTGCATTCTATATCTAAAGCATGACACATTCGACCTGCATTATCCGATAATTACCCAGCAACTTTTATACATTGAATGTTGTGCAAGGTATCTGACACGGGTGCTGATTCAAAAATTATATTCTAAAGTTTCTAAAAAATCATCGATGAATTTTTTTACTATTAAATAAAGGGATGAATTACATAAAGTTAAAAATTTCAAGTTTTTTTGTTATGCTTTGGAAAAGAAAAGTTTGAAGAAATTTTTTAATATTCTTTGACGCGTTAAATCCGAATCTACGAGTGAAAGTTCTATCACATTAAATTTTGTGAAACTATTTCAAAAAAGCACAGGTTTAATTACATTGTGCTACAGCAAAATTCTCTCTGGAGTGCGACCATATATATAGTTTTCCGAAGGTTTTTTCGCGCTGAATACGATGTCGTTTGAAGACTTCGCCTAACACGTCAGGATTTTTAGTAAATTGGATTCAAGGTGACCAAAAATGGCGTTTTTAACATTATTTTAACATTTTTTTGCGGCAAAATGGTTTTAAAATCAACCCTACGGCATCTGAAAGTATAATTCAAGAGCTTTCAAACAAATTTTAGTTTATGACCGTACGACTTTTTTTCATCAAGTTTGGCTGTTTGAATTTTATACTTTTACACTTTTTATACACTATGTTATAAAAAACATTTTTCTTTTTCTCTCTGAAGTGCGACTGTACAATTCTCTTCCGGGGCTCGCGCAGTGGACCGTTCTCGCGCCAATCACCGAACTGCCTCGCTATTGGATCGAATTTTCTGTGAGATGATTAATAATGGAGGATATTGAGCTTAGCAGCTCTCTGGAATTGCACCTCCGTCGAATAATTACAGTCAGTCGGTTTACTTGCTATGCGAGTCTTTATTCCTGTTTTGAGTACAATCGTCCAATTCTCACGGAGTCTCGTCACTCACTCATTTATTTTTGGTGCTGTCGCGGCGCGAACCCCCGCTCTCTCCTCTTACCGCAAATATGCGCACTAAATCAGTTATCACCAGCTCTATCGATACGACAGTCGCCGATTGCGAACAGCGACTATACATTTCCCGAAGTCTTTTTCGCGCTGAACACAATGTCGTTGGCAGAATTCGCCTAGCACGTCAGGATTTTGAGTAAATTGGAATAAAAGTGAAATGGCGTTTTAGCCACTTTTATTCCAATTTACTCAAAATCCTGACGTGCTAGGCGAATTCTTCAAACGACATCGCGTTCAACGCGAAAAAATAATCTTTGGGAAACGTATTCGGGTCACACTTCGGAGAGAGAAAAAAAAGTGTTTTTTGTAACACAGCTTATAAAAAGTTAAAAGTTTAAATGTATCAAATTCAAACAACCCTAACTTGATAAAAGTCGTACGGTTATGAACCAAACTTTATTTGAAAGCTCTTGAATCATACTTTCAGATGTCATTGGCTTTATTAAGAAATCAGTTTCCGTTTTGCCGCAAGAAAATATTAAAAATGGCCAAAAATTGCCATTTTTGCCACTTTAATTTCAATTTACTCAAAATCCTAACGTGCTAGGCGAATTCTTCAAACGGCATCGTGTTCAGCGCGAAAAAATCTTCGGAAAACGTATGGTCACACTTCGGAGAGAGAAAAAAAAGTGTTTTTTTTTTTGTAGCAGTGTTATGAATTTTGAAAAGATGAAAAACGCGTTTTTAAATAATTTTAATATCATTTTTTTACATGATAAACCTGACATGCTAAAACATTTTTGCTTGCAAATTTAAATTCTGCATGTCAAAAAAACTATAAGAAATTATATTCTTCTTTTCCAGACCGTAAATTTGTGTACTGCAACGTGTTACCTACACGTAACGTAAAAAAATACGTCGTTTGAAATTATATTATTAGAATAACTTTAATAATATTATTATCTGTGGTTTGGGGAAAACTAATCAACCTAATCTATATCTTAAGCTAATCTGTCTAGATCTTGTTACCAAAACAATTAATATTATGTGCGACAGAACCTATTTTAGTTTCATACCACGGAATACCATTAGGTTAATTATACTAATATTAGTATAAGTCTTATAATCTTTTAAATATATCAGTTTTGGGAGTTAAAAATTCCACGTTAAACTTGGGGAACCCTCTTTTATTTTCTTTCTTGATACACCACATCATTACGCGATAGCGTCTTTGTATCTCCAAATCTTCTAATTTCCATTCTTTTGTATGAAAAAAAGATGAAATTATTTAAGCGACATTATTTTTATGCTATATTGCATGATACTGTGCAATAACGGTCGGATATTCGAAGATTTACAATATTCAAAATTAGTTAAATTATAATTATACGGATATTAAGATTGATCCGTCACAAATTTTAATGTCAGAATGAACTATAATTATTAAAAGAGAAAACGAAAAGGCTAATTATGCCCATTATATAAATCGAGTACATACATTTTGTACTCTTGTATATAATCTTTGTGTGATATATCATACATTGCATTGGATAACAGATTTTTTTATTGATAGAGGAAAAGATAGTAATGTGAGCTCCCATTTTATTTTGTTGTGTAAATTTTTATTTTTTATTCATTGTTTGCAATTAAACAAGGAATGGCCAGATTACATCCGTTATCGCGGTAACTATTTCACAACTTTGATATACTTACGCTAAAAACAAAAAAGATCTTTTGCACAAAAAATGGTATCGAAATTACAACTTTTACAAAAAAAAATGGTATGATAATTTTAAGCGAGGCTCGCATTATCAACGAGGGCCCACATTATCACCTTTTTATCTACACTTTGATGATATGTTGTATAGATTGCCAGACAATGTGGATTAAATAAATTTAATATAAAATTAACTTATTTTTAACATTTTATTCATTCATGATGTTGATATGTGGTGTAGGAGTTACAAATGCCTGCGTTTGTTTGCTAGAAATATTCATTGGGGCACTTAAAAATTGATATTGCTGTTCCATGCCTGACTAAAAATATTGACACACTCAGGATATATTTAAACGAGAAAAGAGAAATGTGTACATTGGGAGGGGAGGGGGGGGAAGGAAGAGGCAGTAAATGTATGAGTTTGTAATAGATTAATTTTAGAAGCGGATCGTATGCAACAATCAGCGATATTATCTATCTATCGCTATATAAATAAATAAAATTGGTAATGTTTGCAGAGAGAAAAGGAAAGAGGATCTCACATATCGTACATGTTCCGATTGCCGTTCGCCGCCGGTAGTGTCTTCAGCGCTTCGATGTTAGATACTTTGCTTTACCAAGCGTTCGTCAAAGATTACGTGATAACATTCGTAAGACTGTTATTGGGGGTAGATCAAGCACCAGGATCTGGATTCCTCACGTCGGTGAGCAAATATTTAAAATATATTATGTTAACATAAAACTTCTCCACAAATATGACAAACATTTATTTAATTCCTTCATATTAGTTGATTTCTTCGATATACCTATGATAGTGCATCTTGCAATAATTACTACAAAGTTTATCCTTGCAAATTATTTTTAATGTATACTGTTCAAAAAAAAATATGACATAGAAAAATTTTGGGCAAAAATTGGTAAACTTTGACTAACACTAACTCCACGAAAAATCATCGTAGAGTGATGAACTTTTTTTCAAAAAGAAAGTTTGAAATCTCTACTTTAAGGTACTATAGGTCGATTTTAAATGTCATGCATTTCTGCTACTGTAAATCTGAGAGCATGTTTACCATACTGAAAATTGCAAAGTTTGACGAAATGCACTTGTTAAAATTTTTCTCGGGGATGTGGTTTGTAGCGTCATAAAGTTTAAACCTTTTTCTTTAATTTGAAAAAAAAAACAAGGCGTTATGATTTTTTTTCACAAAGTTACAGCATTTTAAGGTAACCATTGTATTTCTCTCATGTATGATCGACATTATCCGATGTGTACTATAGGTAGGTTGGCGATCGGATTTTGCACACCGTGTATGTGTGTATATTTTACACACATCCGCACACAATGTGCAAAATACGATCGCCAACCTCCCTATGATACATATGATTGAATAATGTCGATCATACATGAGAAAATTGCATAGTTTGATGGAATGCACGGACTTGCTAAAATTTTTCTCGGGGATGCGGTTTGTAGCGTCATAAAGTTTGAACATTTTTCTTTAATTTGAAAGAAAACAAGTTGCTACGATTTTTTTCACAAAGTTACAGCATATTAAAGTAATCCTTGTATTTTTCTCATGTATGGTTTGCATTATCCGATGTACACTATAGGGAGGTTGGTAATCGGATTTTGCACATTGTGTTCATGTGGGCATGTGTAAAACATACACACACGGTGTGCAAAATCCGATCGCCAACCTGTTATAGTGCACATCGGGTAATGTCGATCATACATGAAAAAAATACAAGGATTACTTTAAAATGCTGTAACTTTGTGAAATAAAATTGTAGCAACTTTTTTTTCAAATTAAAGAGAAAGATTCAAACTTTATGATGCTGCAAACCGCATTCCCGAGGAAAATTTTAGCAAGTCCGTGCATTTCGTCAAACTTTGCAATTTTCAGTATAGCAAACATGCTCTCAGATTTAAAAGTTTACAGTAGCAGAGATGTATGACATTTAAAATCGACCTATAGTACCTTAAAGTAGAGATTTCAAACTTTCATTTGAAAACAAATTTATCATTCTATGATGATTTTTCGCGAAGTTACCGTTAGTCAAACTTGACCAATTTTTGTTGACCAAAATTTTTCTGTGCCATAATTTTTTTGAGTCAGTATATAATCTGACAATAAGTTTAATATAAATGAAAAAGTCCAGTATTCTACCAATTGCAATAAATTTAGTAATTGATTCCAATATAGTTAGTTCCAATATTAGGAGTTATAAAAGATATTCAGGGATTGGAAGTAACTCGTTACTTGTAACGCCGTTATCGTTACAGTTACTTTTTTTGGTAACGGATTGGTAACAACGTTATTCTATTTTTTCGGTAACTGTAACGGTAACGTAGTTACATTTTTTCGGTAACGGTAACAAATTATACAGTTACTTTTGTCGTTACTTTTTGTATTTATGACAAAGTTTTGTATGTATATTTATTCTTCCGTCTTTCTAGTATTCACATAGTTTATTCTTATTTTAAGACAGTTTTCAATAATGTCTTAAAATATTAATGTCTCTGTGATTGATTTATGACATCTTAAGAATGTCATAAGTTATCAATATCACAAACTAAATTGATAAGTAATTTAATAACATATTTACGTTATAAGCATCTTAAAATACTTTAAAAAATATATTGTGAAAAATATCAGTTAAATTGCGTTTCAAGATTGAAAATTTAATTGGCGCGTAGTTTGTAGAATTAGATATGTATAAGAATATATAAATTCATTTTGAAAAATATTAAGCACGAACCTGGAAACTCAGCTAGCTCATATCGAAAACGCTTTCCTTTTTTAGTTGTATTTTTATATATCAGTCTAGTGTCATTATTGTATTGCTTTTATTAATATTAAAACAAAAAATTGCATCTTAAATTATTTAGACTGATCTTGTTTCAGCATTAAAAAAGTAACGGAAAAGTAACGAATCGTCATCGTTATCGTTACCGTTACTTTTTAAGTAACGGTAACGATAACGAGTTATTTTTAAAAATCAGTAACTAATAATAGTAACTAGTTACTTTTTTAACTCGGTAATGAGTAACAATAATTATTTACTTTTAAAAAATAACTTTCCATTTCCTGACTGGATATTATATATGTTTATAAAAAATTAAAAAGGAATATCCTACTATATTTATTTATATTATATGCAACATTTTATATATTATTGGTGAACGCAATAAAAACGATTGCAGATGCGTATAACGAAGGACGACATGTGGATAAGAACGTACGGCAGATTATATCAAAAGCTCTGTTCGACCACCTGCGAAATTCCAATTGGAATATACAGGACGCAAGACACCACCGTGTCCGACTCCTCGCACGTAAGTGTAACTTTACACTTCTCGTCTAGGGAGAAATATAGACGAAGTAGAATTTGTTAATTGTTACTTTCTATAAAGACAGGAAAGATTCTTTGAATGGCGGCTGTGAGTAGCGCATGGTTGTGCTCTCGCTCCTTCTTTTTGATTTCGTTTCCTGACCCACTTCTTTCTCGTGGCATATTTCTCGGTCTAATCCTGCCGCGCATAAGTATAACGAGCCGAAAACGTTGCATCTTGACGAACTAACTTTCATAGCACGTTATATCTCCCCAATTCATTGATCTTTGCGTCTTTAAACATGCATCGTGCTAGATTTAGTGTGATCGATTGCGACGCAGCTTTCGTTTAATCAACGGCGTATAAAATACAGTAATAAAATAATACACTTCTTAACAAAATTAAAGCATCACTTACTCTACCCTCCAAAAATAGGCAAAATTCAAGAGAATGTAACTTCGTCAAAAATGATCGTATCGAGATGTTCAAAAAAGCATTTTA